CAGAGCACAGGACTCACCTTCCAGAGTAGCAGGTCCTGAGCAAAAGAAGCAGCGAGGAGGACGAGGACCCATCCAGGCTTCCCTCAGCTTCTTGCCCTCCAAGGTTAGGGCAAGGCAAGCTGAGACAGTTGGGGTCGTTACCCAGGTGCAAACCTGCTAGCTACAGCAATTTCTCTTCCTTGTCCCCTACTGCAGCCTGTCACGAGAAATAAGCTTTTGCTATGAACCCACTGACTAGCCACAGCTGGCGGTGAAACACATCCAACTAAAGGATGATGACTAGCAGGAAGTCTTTCTGGTTTTGAGTGGTGATTATTCCAAGTGAGTGAAATAAAGATAATCCACTTTTTTAGCTCTTACATCTATCTACCTGTACTTACCCCACCTCCTGGTTTCTTTGTCCAAAGTGGCAGCAGGGCTTCCACCCTGCTGGTAGCAAGAGCACCCTCCAATATTTCACTATACACTGGAAACCTTGAAAGCAGTGGAACAGAACTGGGGGCATGGAGCTAATGGGGCCAGAGCCCAGCGGCATTAAGAGTCCTAGTGTCCATTTACAAGGCAGAGAAAAAAAAAGATACTTGGATACTTTTGAGGGTCTAATTCTCAGCACCATCTAGCGGTTGTCACCTATGGCTATCGTGCATGGAACGTGCACTTGAAGGCAGTTGTCTCCCCCATAACCAATTCATCAAGACACAGGCAGTCTATAGTCTGTTGTTTTTCCAGGCCTCTGTAAAGATTTCTTAAGTTCTAATCTTATAGCTTGGACTGACTCTTTTTCTAGTGTGGGGAAAATATCTGTAAAATGGAGCTGGTCTTTCAGTGCTCTGAGATGTACAGCTGAACAACATCTAGTATCGCTACCCATACATCACAGGAGAAGCAGAGGGGGAAAGAAGAGGGTGTAACACTTTTAAAACATATGGAAAGCATTATCCGAATAGCAAAAATGTGACATAAATCTATGTACACATAATACTTATAGCTCAGATTTGGGCTCTCCATAGCCCATGCTAGACAAGTAGGGATAACTATTTTTTATTCACAGTGCATTGAAAGGCGGTCCCACTCTGATTTTCACAACTTGCCACCAGCAGTCTGTCTCTCTGCTTTTATTTACAGCTAAAAAGCCTGGAGAGAGTCAGGGCACAGAGGAAAAAGGGGAGAGCAACTGGCAGATCTCAGCTGATGCAAAGTACTGTTTGGAATTTTTCAAAGGACAATCAATTGGAAAGGACTTGCTGTTAATCGATGTGAAACAGATACATGTCAGATCCCCACAGAGCACACTACAATGTGGAACAGCTTCTTAGAGCTGCAGGTTTTTGTGGAGGGAGTTTCGACAGGCGGTTTTTCTCTTAAGCCTGCATTTCTGACAGCTGCCTAGTACCGTTTTCCCAGACTTGTCACATTTGTACCGAGATATATAAATGTCTTCTCTTTTTTTGCTCCTTAACCACTGTACAATCTTTCCATTCTTTAAGCAAAGAAAGATAGAAGCCATATTTTATATCATCCATAGCTGAAGCTGGAGTTTTTCCTGTACAAGGAAATGGTTTCTTGTTATCTGAAGATGACATCTCTATTTTACAATAAAAGCCTCCATCCTCTTTTTTTTTCAGTTCTCTTTACTTCCCCTGTCTCAGAAACTGAACTTATCCAATAGCTTGCAAAGAAAAATAATAAAAGAAAGATGGTTGTGCTCTGTTTCCTGGCGACCAGCACCACTGAGACCCCAGGTAGTATCACACTGGATAATTCAAGACAGAAACAAGCACTGTGATAGTTACGTGGGAAGAGAGGATGCAGCACTAACCTTGGTGCAGAAAATCCTTGACACAGCTGTCTGCTGTTCATGATGGAATTCACAGTGATGATCTGTTCTGAATATGGGAAATAATATCCCATGCATGTTTATTTGGCTTTTTTGGGTTATTTTCCCTTACTAAGCTTAACCATCTTGGCTCTCTTGCATTACCCTCTCTACCTGTAAAAGCATTTAACAAAACTCCCTTGATGCAGGGGCTAGTCCAAGAGGGCACGCTGTGGCTCCCTTAATAACTCACAGAGAAAGCTGGATACGTCGTCTTTGCGCTTATCTCAAACTGCCTCTCCCTTTCCCCAGAATATTGTACCCCTGAGGGTGGGGAAAAGCCCTTACGCCAATAACACAGCACTACATAGAAATGAGAGAAAGGGCTTTAAAATGGCCCTTACTCCCAAAGAACATCAAGGGGATGACAGTTTGTGTCAGACTGTGGGAATGAAGAAGCACAGGTCTGGACTACTGCGGAGGTCTGAAGGAAGGAGATCAAGGAGCAGCGATGGGAACTGACCTACTGGTTCAGGCTGGAGGTGCCTCTAAATCAGCACAGAACACTGCACACTGGCGAGGGCTCCTGGTGACTCCTTCTTACAGAGGCTCCCTCTGCATGTGAAAAAGGCCCAGTTCCTCAAAGGCATTTACACACAGGGCCAGGGCAGCGAGGTACTTCTCAAGGCTAACCACATTGCCTTCAACTGAAAAAACCCCAGCAAAAACGTGTTACACATAGTGCAGAGTTCACTCCCTAGGGAGCCAGAGCAATAGAAATGCAACAGGAAGATAGCTTCCCATCCCTGCCATTAGTGAATACCAAACAGAAAAATGTAAGAAGCCTAAAGGGATATGTTGCCTTCAGTCCTGTCAGTCATGGATGTGACAGCTGGGAGCTTTAAAGACTGTCAAAGGAGGGAAACCAAGGCACTCCAAATGCCAAGTCTGTCAGTAGCGTAATTAACATGTCATGTATGGTCTGCTCAGAAATGCAGCACATACTGCACCTCCAACTGCCAGACCATCAAAAACGCTGCTTGGCTGGTAATTCCCGCACCTTGCAATAATGTCTAAGTTACTGCAAAGCCAAGAAAAAGGCAAACCGTAGTGTTTGGGAAGACAGAAATCTGTTTGTAGCCCATGGGTGAAAGCAAGCTAACCTACCACAGAGGCCGTTGGTACTCCCACTCCAGAGGATTGTCTCTGGGAACATGTACCCAGTCGTATTCTTCGAAAAGCACATCCATTTTCACATGGGTAAAACACCTGAAACAAAAAGGATGGAGGCAAGTTCTGCGGGGAATTCATAAACCAAGACAGGTTTGGGGATCTCAGCAGCTGGAGTGTGCTCCCCACTAACCCGCAAGAACCAGTTTGAGGCAGGTGGCATCAAGTGCCAGGTAAAAGGGAAAATTTCTCTCCCCCATCTCTGGTAGCATACCTTGGGCAAACTTACAAACGTAAAATGACAGCAACGGAAAGAAAAAACCCATGTTATGAAAGCCAGCCCACACAGAGGGGCATGGCAATTCTCTCCCTCCGTGGACAAAATGGATGCGCACGGTTTAGTGCAGGAGGGTCCTAGTATAGGTAAGATACTTGGGGCAACCTAGATGACTGCTCAGGTTGAGCAAAATCTAAGTTTTTATTTAAAAAAAGGTAGATCTGTAGCCATCATGACTGACCAACATAACCAGGCCAAGGACAGCACCTGAATCCACCGAGAGCCTCAGAACAACAATTCAAGTATACCTGAGCAAACTTGCTATCGCACTGCTTAAAAGTACAGTATTGCTGCTAGTGCGGGCTCTTTGACAGCTGATCTCTGACGGACAGATCAGGGAAGGCACTGGAAAGGGAAACCGAGAGGGTGAGGTCTAGGTGTTACTGTAAGGAATGATGGACTCACAAGGACAGGGTGAGATACAGGGAAAGAACAAAAAAAGCAGGCATGCGAAAAAGGAAAAAAGAACTTCAGTAGTGGTAAGTCTGGTAAAAGAGCACATTTTTACTGAATGTAACAAGTAGTGATGAAGACATACATGAAATTTTTATCTATAGACTGGCAGAAAATTTAAAATCATTATCATATAAAAATAATCTATTTCTGCACAATAAACATACTGCTTCCCCTCTTCTTTCAGGTTGACTTAAAATGATGCAAGTTAAGGATATCTTACAAACAACAAAGAATCTTAGTTAAGAAAATATTTATGAAGGAAGTTTTCCTTGCAAATTTCTATTTCTGAAAATGTGATTTGGAAAAAAACCCCACAAAACTCTTCAATGATACCACCAACTCCTTAAATGTAGAGACCTGTAGTCCAATTCTTGTCTCAACATAATTTTCTTGTCTCAACAAACAGAAAAGACAGCAGCCCTGTGGTCAGCCCATCAGTTCCATTAAACAAGGACAGCTTTATCAGAAGTTCCTGCATCAGAACAAAGGGAGAAAACCAAAGCAGAATGAAGAAGTGAGATGGACACCTTGTGCTCCTGATTGTTGAAAAGCAGTTTCTGAGCCATGCAAAGAGTTCTTGCCACGCTGATCAGATGGCACTAAAGATAGGAGATAGCACTATCTGAACCCATGCTCAAAATGCTTTGGAGATAAAGTTATATCCAAGCTGCTGCTGTAGACAGGAGGTTCTTGCTGAGATTACAATCAGCTGTGTGAAGGAGCACAGAGACAGAACACATTTAGCTAGATCAGTTTTTGTTAAGACCTGTCAGTGGTACAGGAAAGGAATAAAACTGCCCTGATAATGAAAATGATCTAATTTGCAGCTCTGTGATAAGTAGTATTTATCATGAATCTTTGATTCCTTGCACTCGGGCTGCTACTGCAGCTCCTCTGGGATGGCATTAACGTACCATTTCTCCATGGCTCCTACTTATCTCAAACAGTTTCTGCTACAAACAGGTTTTTCACGCTGGCCTGTGAAATTTCTTGAATTATCTGGTAAGGGAGAGTTTCAGCCATGATCACAGCAGGTCCACGATTCTGCCCAAATGTTATAATAAAATATGGGTCAACTGTGCTATACACAGTAGTGTGAAGTATGATTTCAGGGTTTTACTGAAACTTCTTTACAGAGACCTATAGAAGTTGAGCATAGCTTCATCATTCAGGAGAAGCACACTCATCTCACGCAATCAAAATCATCAAAAGCTATTTCACAGAAAGGGGTATGTATTTTTAAAAAGTTAAATATAACTAAGGTCTAGCACCAGGCAAAAACCATGAATATTTAAGAACGTCAGACTGCAGCACATTTTAAAAACCAAGAGTAATAACTTAGAACACACTATCTTATATTTTCAAAGCATTTTACAAAAACATGAATTAATTAAGCCTCACAACACCCTTGTGAGATAGGTAAGTATTATTAGTCCCATTTTAGAGACAGGGAAACAGGCATGGAGAGAGTATGACCTGCTCACCACCACACACGTCAAATCCAGGAACAGAACACCAGATTTCCCAGTTTTCTGCCACACATGGTCTGACCTCTTAAAAGATGCTGGTCTTTAAATAAAATTTGTTTCCTCTCATCCCTTTTAAGACACTTGACCCGATTTCATTCTGATATGAAAAGGTACCCACCAAAAGCTATCCACGATAAACAAACAGAAGTAGGAAATAACATTTCTGTAGACTGTGTGTTGCTGGAAGCTGTTTAAGAGGACTTGACATGGGTGCTTCCATACTGCCACAGTCCAAATGTTGCTTCTCATCATGCACCTGCCACCAGGAAACTCACCAAGGCCTATATGCAATGCTGATACAGCTCAGAATCTGCAAAAAAAAAGGTAAGGTTTCTTTGCCACTTCCAAACAAGGAATCTCTCTCTGGCAGGGAGTCTTCTCTGAGAAGAACTCATATGAGTACAACTGCACTGAAAGCAAAGACTTTTATCAGGAGACTTTCAAGGTGCAGCTAAGGGCGCAGATGTATCTGTTGGAAAACCTGGAAATGTTCACATATTGTGCTCTGTGTTAAGAGAGATGGTCTGGAGGCATCAGCCATCCTAGGGGGTAGAAAATAACTCTCCATAGTCACTTTGAGAAGACAAGTTCCCTTAGCATATCACTCTTGCACTGAACTAGTCAGCGACAGACTAGGATTAAAAATTCCAAACCACCTGAAAATTCAAGTCAACAGATTTAACTCTATGAAATGCCAAATCTGGCAGATCCACTGGCTGCCTGTTTGCAAACCCAGGCCCAGATGTTAGTGGAGACATAGAAATAAAAACAGTACTTCCACCTTCAGTTACATATGTCCATTAGACACTATCTAGAGTCCAGGAAATTAGTCTCAAGACAGCTCGATCTGAAGATCCTCCCCATACTTTCGGATCAGCTTCATGTGGTTATGGTCCACTGACCACTGCTCTGGGAGGTGCTTGGGCTGCATGCTGTCCAAGAAATGTTGCCGCCAGCGTCTCTCCAACTGCATAAGGGAGCGCAGGCCTCCTTTAGCAAAACACTGCACCACCTTCAGTCCATGTGGCATGTAGCTCTCATTGCAGATCCTGCCAGGACACAAGCAGAGTTTATTTTCACACAAGCCGACTGTCAGACTCTAGACCTGTCTACAATGAACAGCAAGACACTGAAGATACTTTCAGCTGTGGAGTTTAATTACAGACACATGGTAAGCTAATCAGGAGGGAGAGTTTTAAGCTTTGCTTCAATGCCAGCCTGCTTTCTGGAACACAGTTACACTGGGAAGCTGGTTTGTTTGAACTGAGAAAGTGTTCTTTTATAGCAATACTAAACAAAGCTCTCAAGGTCCATTATAAGCTCCTCAGCAGACAGACTGCAGATTTCTCAAGGCAAGAACCATATGACACTCCAGAGGCCTGATCCTGCCACTGAATTCACTGCCTTGATAGTTTCTGAGTTACAACATTGGCACATTACAACAGCAGTGAGCATAACAAGGAGAAAACACTGACTTCATGTAGACAGAGACCAGATACTAGTTAAGAAAAGATATTTGGGGGGGCTTTGAGAAAGAGGAAGAGAGGAGACTTCCAATATGATTGTCTTTCAGTCTCCCTCCCTGATCTGTCCTTCAAAAGAAGTATAAAATAGTGTAAGGGAAGATGGAGTGCAAGAACAGAAGGAGATTGATAGAAAGGAAAGAGGGGAAGAAACAAGAGCTGCAGTTCACAGACCACTACCGGGTTGAGGGGAGAAGGGGATAAACAAAAACACAGTAAGAAGTGCAGAGTGTGCTTGTCTGCTTAGAGCCTTAGGCTACAGCACAGTTACCTCCTTCTTCTCCTTGATTTCTAGTTAAATGTATCAAAGTACTATAAATCCAGAGTCTGGAAGCTTATACAAATGATAAAGTTATGCTTTTAGAGGCTTGTTTTTCCTGTGCAGATCAACTCCTAGTAGTCTCAAATTCAGACACTCCTTAACTTGACACCATTATTTTAGGGAAGATACATCAATATCCCAAGGAGACCAGCAATGGCTTTTGTCTTATTTCCATTAAAAAGCTGGGTGGGCAGGGAGGGGAAGTCAGCATATGCGATCCACAGCTCTGCAAATCCTGCTGGATTTTCTTTTACTTTGCTGCAGTAATATTTACCCAAGGCTCTGCGCACAGACAACTTTTCATGGAACTTATGTGTCAACATAAATGACTAAAATGTTACATCTACTGATGGGCTCGTTATACCTGGTTTCCAGACCAGCTGCTTCCCGGAGCATCTCTGGGGTGACCTCCTCTGTGTTAAAGAAGTCCTTGATGCTTTGCAGAAGTTCTGCCCTTCGGGGGTCAGGCAGGCTGTCTGCATTCAGCAGGGCTCGGGCCCCCGAGCGCACTTGTCTGCGCAGAGGGTCCTCCAGCAGACGCACGCCTTCCTCGGAGCCAATGGGGGCACCAAACTCCTCAGCCAGCTGCTGCTTGAGATGGTTGTCATAGTAATTGGAGATGGCATGGCAGGACGTGCAGAGTAGGAGCACGTCATGGGAGTTGTGGTCCTTCATCTGGATGGGGAAGTGTCTTCGGTATTCGTGAGGAACAATGTTCTTCCTAGGGAAGACAAACCAGCCAGCTCATTACATTTGTCTGGAGCTACTACTTCCCAGTTCCTCCTCTTCCTGGCCCACAAAGGGTCAACTGATACTAAAAGTCCAGGAAAACAGAAGATCACCAGGGTCAGGACCCTCAGTGCAGCAACAGGTTCTGCAACTTCTTTTTATATGTACTTCTCTCCACAGGATTTCTGCATTTCTCTTTTTTTTTCCCCCCTTCCAAAAATTCATTGCTTTCAATTAAAAAAGAAAAAAGTGACACATACTGTAAAAAAAAAAAAGCCATGCACGATGAGAAGCATAGCTCTCAGCTAAACAGCAGCAGCTGCAAAGACAAAAATCTCACTCTTTGTGACCTTGTGGGCTTCAGGCTCCCCTAAACCTTTAAAAAACGGGATTAAGTAGTGGAAAGAATAGTACAACTATTTTCAGAAGGGGATGCCATCAGAACAGTGTGTGCTGGCATACTGCTGCCCCCTGTCATTCAAACGGCAGCACATATATATTCTATTCGCTTTGTTCTCTCCAAGGACCGATACCTCCTACCTCTGGCAGAAGAGGGTAGGTTGGCCGGTTCAGTGTCAAACTTACCCAGACATATACGACTACAGAGCATTCAAATAGTGATAGCCCATCCATGATATGAACAAGCACGATGTTTCAGGCCACTAACCAAGCTTCTGGATGCCAAATGAGATGCAGACCTCAGTCCTGTTTTAAAAGATGCATTTTTCTCCTCTCCCACTAAACTCACCGGATATAGGACTCTCGCTTGCCACATACAACACACAGGTTCTCTTTGACTGTCAGATAGTAATCAACTTGAGACTCTGGACGTCCTGAAGGCTCAAACCGCAGCTTCACAACAAATGGGTCTGTGCTAACTAGCTCTGAAAGGGTAAAGGCAGACAGAGAATATTCAAGACAAATTTGCATTTGAAAGCTAAAATAACAATGCTAAAACATAGGAGTCATCCTAGTGAATATCCAACAGTATTTCCAATAAGAAAGAGTATAAAAAAATTCATGCCCAGTTATCTAAGAAACAAGGCAAAAAATCCAAAAAGCACTGTATTTGAAATACCAACAGGAAAATTGGTATGCTTACCTCCAATCCCCTTGTCCAGATACCACTGAGCCTTCTTGCGATCACAAGTGCACAGGGGCTGTCCATCTGGTGCATGCAGGAAGCAGTTGTCATACAGTGGAGATTTTCTGTGAAACAAGGGCAGCATTACAGCAATTATAATAGCATACCAAAAAAAACAGAGCTCTCTGTAGCCATGCGTTCCACACTGCAATTCATGCAGCCTCCTCCAAATCACAGGAGTGCCCCTAAACACACATTTAAGGCTGCTGAGCACTGCACAGGCTGCTGCTACGAGAAGCAGAACAGCTAAAAACTTACCTGGGATTCAGCAACTGACTGTAAAGTATCTTTGCTCTCTTACTGCCAACAGAATTGTAACTCTGAATCCCAGTTTTCCAGAGATGCCATCAATGATGACAGCATTTTTTGGAAAAAAAAAAAAAAAAATTACATTAGAAAACAAAAAAAGAACTGAAGTCAAGAAGGACAATGAGCTAAGAGTAAGCTAAAAGAGTGTCAACTCACAGGCAAGGCAATTTCAAGGATCAGCTGCGTAAGCCTGTATTTTAATGTTTTATTAAGATGACTTTTCTAAAACTTAGTGTGAACAGCAATTACTTCATTCATCCAAGAGAAATACTACAAGAAAGCTCTTGGAGCACTGGGAACCCAAACACAGGAGTCCATGGGAACAGCGAAGCTGAGCTGACGCCCTCTGAAACACAAGCACCGAACCTTAGTCAGTGGCAAAAAGTCCGGCTTGAGCGGTCTGCGGTGGTTTTGTGGCAGTGTGTGGAAGGGCTCTGTTTTGCAGAAAACATTTCCTTGCTCTGCCAACCTCCTTCAAACAAAAGTGAAGAGCAGAGCAGGCTGGGCTCAGGGAGCGTCTGGGAGGAACTGGCCAGGGATACAGACATGTCACAATACACTGTGGAAAAGTTTCCTTTCTTTCCAGCAAGATCATATAAATAAGTACTCATCAGAGCTCTATCAACTAAAAAGGTTGATTCACAGGCTATGTAATCTGACAAAAGGATTTCCTCTGAGGTCCATGGGGGAAAAAAAAACCCCAACAAAACAATAATGATACAGGAGGTCTCCTTCTACTGAGCATCAGCAGTTCAGCTCAATCACCATGCTAATTTGAGTACTTCCCAACTCTAAATGAATAAACATTAAAACTAAATAGGCTTAAAGAAAGGAAGAGTGGAAAAGGACTTTTGAAATCACATCCAGTCTTATTACAGACCAGAGCCAGACTACTGGAGATACTGTAAAAAACAGTGAGTCTACAGATCTCTCATTAAGTCAAGCACGGTTAAAAACAATAAATCAATAAACAAACAAACATGGGGAGATCTCAATTTAGCTTGGAATGCAATTTTGTTTAAATTTTAATCCTCCCATGAGGTGCAGTCCTTCTGTTTTGTATGACACAGGCTCCAACTGAGGAAGATAAAAAAAATCTGAAGGGACTTGCTGTGTACAATGCAATACCATTAATGACTGCTAATGAAATCAATATTATTGACTGCACTAAAATGTCTTCATTGCCAATCCAATAAACTTGAAAAGGAGAAAACAAATACTAAAATAACTGGGTTTCTTTCCAAATGGTAATTACAGACAATTTTAGTTCCTACACCCATGTGATTAATTTTATTAGATTGTATGCGAACAAAACCAAACATACTAGCTCTCCACATCTTCCACTGTGCTGAGTTTAAAGAGACTTCTCCAACTTGTTTTAATTTAAAAACAACTGAACTTTCATTAGCAAAAGGCCATAAGAATTTAGGATTTGCTCCACAAAAATCACCTGCAGGGCGGGGATCCTGAATGTAGCAACAGCTGCCCCTGCAAGGCCAAAGTAGTACCGTTCCCTCCTCTCTCTCCCTGGCCAGCACAGAAGTGCAGTGCTTTGATGCTGCCACAGACTGTTCCTTCCTGTGCCCTCTGGCACCTCACATCACCTCTCTCACACCCTCCTCACCTTAGCTTTCAGCTCTGCTCAGTACCCTGACATCTCTGTGGCCACAGTGACCTGGGGCAGCACAGTACAAACAGCAGTCCACGAGGCAGATCCTGCTCACAGGACAAGCTCTATGCAGTTGCCACCTTTTCCCTGGCAGAGACAGGGCACAGCTGTTTGGGCAGTAAATGCCACCCAGCTGTCTTCTATTGGGACTCTGCTCTCCAGCTCATGTGTCCCTAGGAGAAGGAAGGGCAAAAGCTGAAGACAACCTCTCAACCTGCTCATGACCTAGTACAGATCCAACTGCTGCCCTCACTTTCAATACCACTAGAGGGAAATGGGGAAATCAGAAACAGGATCTAGCTCCCATGACTGTTAGGTCCTGTGTTTCTTTTCCTAGCTCATACTATCCACTTTGTTTAACAAGTAGAGCATGAGGCATCATTCAATGTTTTCCCTCTACAGTGCAAGGAGTAAAACATGCTCATAGACTTACCTTGCAGAATATCCCACGCCCAGAGGCTTTCGCTTCTGCCTCCGAGGATCTCTCACTTGCTGACTGCCAGAGGGCTGCCCATTCATGGAAGACTTCCGATTCTTTGTTTTCTGAGGGGAGCGTCCCTCTCCACTCTTCTCTTCTCCTGTGCTGCCACTCCTTCTTCCTCTAAATGGGATATCCACCAAGCCCCGGCATTTACCCAGTGCTTTTTCCCAAGCAGCGTCAGAGTTTTCACCTTCAGATGTAGCAGGGAGGCTGCCAAATCCCAGCAAATGAAGGAACAGAGCCACTGAGACCTGGGCATCCCTAGCAGCATAGAGAACCTGCAGAAAAGCATAGACATCGAGATACTGACAAAGAGCAAACACTCCCAAACATTATCAGTCTTTAACACTTGGTACTGTAAAGCCAGAAGCTGGATTTATTTCCTTTTGAAGTTCATGCAAAGTTCTGGCATTTGAGTGACACTTTCATAACACCACCACACCCCACATTTTTAGGATCAGTCAGACTTTAAATACTCATGGGTGGCCCCAGGAACCGCAAAGGACTGAAAAAAATTCAGGTCAGACAGGCCTCAAACACCCTCCTGCCCCACCAAGTCCTCCCTAACGAAAAGAAAGCTCTCTCTTGACACACTGTCTACAAACAGTGTGGTTATTTATCCCGTCGCTCCCTCTACTGGTCACTGATTGTGTACACATCTGCAACATGACTGTAAAGAAAACGAGCAATTGGGGAAATCATGATGCTCTAAAGACGGTGAACAAGGTTTCCAGGGTGTCTCTCTTATTTTGCACTGACTGCTATAGATTGGAGGAAAGAAAATAATAAACAGGTGAGGGTTTGCGTGCACAGACACTTCTTCAAGGGATCTTGCTGTATAGACCTTTCAGGATTAAAGGAAAACAAGGGTCAAGAATCCAGGGAGAGTAATAGAAAACTATCTTAATGGAAAAGGAGCAAAACGCGGGCACAGAATCTGAAATTAACTTCAGATCACAGTCACACACAAGCTTTTGGGGCAAAACTTCAGGAGAGAGCTCAGATCTCCCTATTGTAATATCTCTTCTCTACTAAGAAGGTTGCTTTTCCTCCAAAAAGACTAAGTTGAAGTGGAAGACAGACCTGATCTTGCGTCAGTTCTTCTGCCTCCCAGTTGCTGCAACGCACATGAGGAGACTTGTCAAGCGGGCAGTTCAGGACTTTTTCAGCTAAAGACTTAAGGCTAAGGCAGTTGTGAAGTAGATCCTTCCTTCGGTTTAACAAAGAAAGTGAAACAAACATATTAAAAACAAAACTATACACCCATGCAAATTTGGACGGCCTCACACACACTGAACCTGCCAGAACACAATGCACATGATGCATGACTCCCACTCAAACAGCACACAGCTGGCCTGTCAGCTTTACAGGCCCTCTCCCTCCCCTCCGCTGAAATGTCCTTTCTAGATCTAGTAATTATCTAGTGCCTGCAATATGCAAAACAGGCAAGGCTGGGAGTTGCTAACATTTAAGGCTGAAGTGTTTGGCTCTGAACTACCCACTTCTGAACTAAAGAGGTCTATCATAGAGTGATGGACCGCCTGCCGCAAGGATTCACAAGGAGCATGACAGCCAGGAACGACTCAGAGGAATCCTGGCCACTAGAGACAATTAGATAGAGATGATCACAGAATCATAGAATCGTTTCGGTTGGAAAAGACCTTTAAGATCATCCAGTCCAAGCATTAACCTACACTACCAAGTCTAGTCTAAGCCAATCAAGGGTAGACTAGACTAAACCATGTCCCGAAGTGCCACGTCTACCCGTTTTTTGAACACTTCCAGGGATGGTGACTCCACCACCTCTCTGGGCAGCCTGTTCCAATCCTTGACCACCCTTTCCGTAAAGAAATTTTTCCTAATTTCCAACCTAAACCTCCCCTGGCGCAGCTTAAGCCCATTTCCTCTCGTCCTATCACTAACTACTTGGGAGAAGAGACCAACACCCACCTCACTACAACCTCCTTTCAGGTAGTGGTAGAGAGCGATAAGGTCTCCCCTCAGCCATCCTCACTGATAAAAGGCACTGTCAGGTCAGCAAATCCATGCCCCAGATCACTAACACCACACCCAGGCGTACATATACTGTACGTGAAGAATATTCCCAAGTAAAACACTTTATTTTAGGAAGAACGAAGGATGAGAAAGTGGCATCATAATTGTAACCTTTTAATGGAAGCATTGTTATCAGAAGAGAAAATCTGAGATGGTGTATTTTAGTCATTTTTCAAGAAATCCTGTAATTCAACAGTTCCACTTATGGGCCCCTGGCACATTTGCCCCATACTTCTAGATAGTGTATTCAAACATCTGTTGACATGGTGATCATTCTCACTGCATTACATCACCATGCCTGGACTTCTTGCAAGCTGAAGCGTGATACACAGAAAAGTCCATACGGGTATTGTATGAGAAGACTAACAGACACAATTAGCATATGAAATCTTCATGAAGATTTCATTTCCATTAAGACCATAGAACAGAAACATGACATGTTCTTGGGCTGCAGCTGTCGATGCCCGTGCTCTAAAACTACCCTGAGAACTCTAGACCTACCTGCCTGGTATCATTCAGCATATGCAAGTTACTTTTAAAATATTTCCAACTCAAATGATGCCTCAAACAGAGCTGCCTCTGTCTTCAGACACTCACCGCTGCCTCATGGCTAAATACCGGAGATCCACGCTCCCTTTGACGGGAAGGCCATAATCATGAAGTAGCTTGCAAGCATCTTCCCAGCATCCTACCCCAACTTTTAACACAGCACTATCTGCCATGATGTCCAACAGGGTCTTTGGGATAGTCTGTCCATTGGCAACAAGCCTGGGCAACCGAACAAGAATGCAGAGGCCACTGGAAGAAGCCATCTGTAGGAGGGACACAGGATTTGCTTTTCCCTCCACAGATACCTGAAATAAAGATAAAAATCAGAGTCTGAGTGACAGTATTATTAGCAATACTGGAGCTGGAACAAGTTGCAAAAGAGGCCACTGAAGACAGGAAATACCTATTGGTTTATACAGTCAAGTATTATTACATGTCTCTAAAATTTTACTGCAAATTACGTGATCTGTTTCACTGTATTACTGTCCCCAAGCTACTTCTTGCCACACTGCTACAAGAGAAACTTTCCCCCTTTCACCCTTCCCCCTCATAGCTGAGCTGGTGGAAGAAATCAGACACATTTCTTAATCCACATCACCACAAACCCACCTGCTACATAAATGTTTATGGCAAACACATCGTTTAACTGTGGCTTATACTAATGACTGTGGGGTGAATAAATTTCCAACCAAAATAATGGCAAAGCCAGGCTTTATAAATTACTCAAAGCCTGTTTTGAGAGTTTACACAGGCACATGTGCAAGCAGAAGAGGAACTTTGCCTGCTGGTAGTCCCAGTGAGCTGTGAGTCTACGTATCAGTATTATCCTCCTTTTTGGATTTATTATCCTTAAGAAATTGTTTCTTAAGTATGTAGCTGGATTTAAAATAGTGTAAACCCAAGCTACCTCTAGTAAATCACCTTTAAAGAGATCTAACACAAAACACATACTACTATATTTAGCCATACAATTATCGCTATGTTTAGTATAGCTGATTTATCACAGTTCAGTAAGCAAACACAACTAGTGAATTAAAAACTTACAGTCAGCACACTTAAACGTGAGAACAATCAAAATTAGCAGCTACTTCACTGCTGTCATGACAGAGAATCGCAGAGGCAGTTTCGATAGTCCTGTTGTATCCCTTTAAGCAAAGGAATCGCTCCACCCTCAGTGATTTGCCGTTGCAATTTGCAATCTAAAGGAGCGGCGCTTCTTGATCACTCACCCACTCACAATCAATTCCAAGCACCGGCCGCTTCTCCAGCTCCTTCTTCAGCAAAGGTTCAACGTGATCCCACTCCTCCTGCTCTGAAACTATCACTATATCTGCACCAAGGGTCCTCTCTACCCAGGAAAAGGTGGGAGATCTGAAGAAGGAAAGCACCTCCTTATCCTCTGCCTTAATCACTTTCTCATCTCCCGAGTTTATAACTGCTTCCTCTCGCTGACTACTACAGCATGCTTTTCCTTTCCGACGCTGTGATGCTTTCCACAAAACCAGGCCCCCCACTGCAACACCCAGCAGGGTCGCCAAAGTAATCGTCACTGCTGTTTGCTTGGGCATCTTTTTTATCCCCCTCTTCCCCCCTTCACTTCACCCACTCAAAACGGCATTGTAGGATTTTATCATGGCCTGCAAAGAAAAATGAGAGAGGTGGGAATTAAAGACAACTTAATGAAATGTGTTAAGGGGTATTAAATACACCTACTGGTATCACAACAAGGTTCTAGCCACAACTCGTGATCCTGACAGAAAAAGGCCTGGTGACAGACCGGGGGTCAAGGGACAGACCGCTGCAGTGGTGAATTGGGCAGTAACAGCAGACTGAATGCTGCCGTTCATCACACCACCAAAAACCTTAAAGGGTTTTTGATTTATTTATACTGGTGCACCTGGATGCTTCCACAAACTCTTGTATTCCAAAACTAAACGAGTCCAGGATATTATCAATACCTTTTAGCTCAGTCTGGAAACAGATCACCCTAAACAAGGACGAGATGAAATTACCGCAGAATAAGCATGTTCACGCATTAGTAAATAACAGGCATCGTCCATGACGTTCGCATCCACACTAGGGTCAAACGGCTCTTCCGGCACTGAAAAGCCCTAAAGCAGCAGCATCCATTTATAAGACAGCTTTCCCTCGACCAGACAAAAGCTTCGCTCCCCTGCAGTAAAC